TGCAACCTTCTCTTCGTGCTCATGCAGTGCCTTTTCTCTCCGATCTCTAGCTTCCCGAGCCTTGCGCGTCGCTTCATCCTCTTGCTCGGCCGCCTCACCCTCTGGAGGTGGTCCTAGAGTCTGTATGTAGGTCTCGATCATAGGATCCCGCACTTGTGGCTGTAGAGAAATGTATCTAATGTCGACGAGCAGCTGCGGTGGTAGGTGCGACATGTTCGTCTTGTTGTTCAGTGCAGAAAGTGGCAGTGACTTCAGAAGCGCGGCGAGATCTGCCTTGAGTGTGGCTTGGGGCATCTTGAGACGGTTGATGTGTTCGCGATACCACTTCTCACGGTCCTTGTCTTTGACGTAGGGATCCGCCATGGACGGTTCTTTCCGATATTTCCTCTTGAACTCTTGCCAAAAGAGCTTGGGTGACGCTTTCTCCTGCAGTAGCGTCATGTACGGTATCCGTGGATCCTTCTTCTCTTCTTTGGCCCGACGTTCCTTGATTTCCTTGATCTTGTCCTTGGTCCACTCCGACCAGGTCTCCTTGCGAGCCTTCATCGTATTGAGAATTGTGTATCTCGGATCCTCAATGATATGTCCATCCTCAATCAGTTTCTCCCACGTGCTGTAGGGACTGATGTTGAAGTCTTCTAGTAAGTCTCGGAACAGGGCGGCGGCGTCTTCTTGTGAGAATTCGACCCCCTCTGCACCTTCAGGCCACTCGTCCATATTCCCGTCGTCATATTCTCCAGGGTCTAGTCCGTAGGCATCGCCCATTGCTTGCAGTTGAAATGCGATGTCCGCTTCGCTGAATTCTACAGGCGCGTCATCGGCCGGGTCTTCTGTACGCTGGCGCTTGGAAGCAGGCCCGTCCTCCCCATCCTGGTCCTCTACTTCGTCATCCGTAACCTCAACCTCCTCGTACTCTGAGCTGTCCTCGTTGTCGTCGTAAGTTGTGGGTTCCGTAGCGTCTAATATTGGTCGAGCTTCGGCTGTCGGTGGTCCCTCCTTGGCTATCTCTGTGGCACTTCTGATCCCAGCTTTCTCGCGGATTCTGGCCTTGTCCACCTCCAAGATACCAGCCGTAAGCTTTTCTGGAATGCGCCAGTAGCTTGCATTTTTCTCGGGATTATAGACAAAGCGGCGCCCGTACTTTGTGTCAACTAGTATCCAGGGCTCGCATCCGGGGATCGGGACCTTAGATTTCGGTTTGTCCACCGGCTCTGGACGCGGGCGTACATCCCTACCTCCCCTACCTGCGTGACCGAATGCTCCTCGCTGAGGTGGAGGGTGGTTTTGCGCATTGTACTGTGCAAGATATGCGTTTGCGACATTGGGATCGGAGAGTTGAGGAACGGTCTGATATTGGAAGAAGCTCGTCGAAGCCGTTGAAGATGCAGCAGCAGCGTCCGGGGCACTGGGTCTCGTGTATGTCGATTCTTGTGTTTGGCTGTTGTGGTAGTACTTATGTCCGCTTGGCGCAGTGTGCTCTGTCCATCCGGGAAGAAGAGGAGGAGGTGTCGCAGTATTTGCGGTTGGCTTGTACGTTGACTTAAGCATACTGGGCAAAGTAAAAATGGTGTGCTCGCAGTGTCTGTGATGCTAACCGTCAGATCACGATCACGATAGAGTTGTTGATTTTCGGAGGTCTTGATGCGAAGAACGGAATTGAGGCGGAGAATCTTCGGGCATCCGATAAGATAAGGCAGCTTCGAAAGGTTCGTACCTGCCCTGCAGCCAGCTCGGGACCTAAAGCGTCACAGCTCACGAGCTCGAATCCCCCAATCAAAACGCCACATACACCGGAAGACATTCAAGGTGGAAAGCTCGCCCTAGGGACAGTTGGCCGGAGGATCTGCATGTTGATCAAGTGACTGCTGCTAGTCGTTGGCGCTTGTTCAACTTTCATTGTCTGCCGTCGCTCCTTTTGATTCTTATAGACTCGGCTCACGTTGGGTGTTTGAGTTGAGCTCTCTCATCACTGCCGCTCCCTCAATCAACACCTACTGTCGCAGCAAGAAGTCGTCGATGTTTCAAGCAGCCTTTCGTGCAACTCGACGACGGTGACTGCTCAAGATGGCACCAGGCCGTCGGGACAGTGGTTCAAGCGGAAATGCTGTCGCATCCGCATTCACCAGGTTTTGGAAGGTAGCGTACTCACTCGGGTTCTTCTCATCCACGCAAGGCTGCGAGATCGTCTGACAGAGTACCTGTAGAGAACTCATGCGCCAGACTACCTCGGATTTGCGATTCTCCTTACTGGGTGGATCGTGGTAGGTTCTCCACGATGCATGTCCATGGCATAGCTCCCAGTGCTGATGACTTCTTCAGATGCTGTTATTTATTGAGCCATTCCACCGCATGTTCTTCATCAATGATCTGCATATCTCATACCCTCATGCCCAGGTCGAGCGCGTACCTGTTTGTTAGTGCACAGATGGAGGCCTGCAACTTTCTTGAGAATATGACTGATACCTCCTTAGATATGAACTTTGTATACGCCCTCTTCATACCGCTGGGCGTGTTGGTTGCGTATAATGTTGTCACAAAAGCATCGCCTCACAAGCACGAGGTCACCTACCTGTCCTTTGCCATCGCCATCATCATGGGCTCCTTTCTCACGGACCTCATCAAGAATACTGTCGGCCGACCGCGTCCCGATTTGTTGGCCAGGTGTAAGCCTGCGACTGGCACCAAGCCTGACGTACTTGTTACCATCGATGTTTGCACCGAGACTGCACACCATCTCCTCCATGATGGTTGGCGGTCCTTCCCGTCGGGCCATTCGTCTTTCTCTTTCTCTGGACTTGGCTTCTTGAGCTTATTCTTGGCTGGCCAGCTGCACATTTTCCGACACAACAGTGGAGGCCGCGACCTTAGCCGCGCCCTTATTTGCCTTCTACCGCTGCTGGGCGCTGCACTCATCGCCATCAGCCGGTGTGAGGACTATAGACACGACGTATATGATGTTTCCGTGGGCTCTTTGCTTGGTTACGTGGTTGCGTACTGGAGTTATCGACGACACTGGCCGAAGTTGACCGCCAAGGAATGTCATGAACCCCATCCATATCCTGGATCAGACCCCAAGACTGGGTGGAACCGCCTGCGAGACGAGGAGGAAGCTGGGGACTCGCGACCCGACGTAGGCTATGAGATGACCCAGCTAAATAGCCAGAGACACTAATCACTGTCACTAGGGTCCTTCATAGAGTGCGTAAGCAACAAGCCAACCATCGACTTAACCATCTACACACGTAAGACTAATCACCACATTGTTTCTCGTGTTTACTGCATTCTTGCTTTGCTTTCTTGTGCATCATCTTGAGCCTGGTTTATCACCACCGCAATACATGCCATTTGAGAGCTCACCCTGGAGTACCACAGCATCGCATTTGCATCTTGGCAGCAACCTGTTAGGGGTTTGGGGGTCTGAGATTCCGGAAGTTTGGGGGCATCAATTCTATTGGTACATCAGGGTTAAGGGCAATCATCACGCCCCATCTATGTTTTTGAATTCATCCATGCCATTATTTGTCCTCCGTGGACTCGTCCTTTGCCAAATCATGCTCCTTCAGCAATTCCTTGATCTCCTCTGCGGTCCAGAGTCTGTGGTAGATCTTACCGTCGCTCGTCTGGCCAACCGTGGCGAATTCGACTGTTTACGTTCGGTTAGTACTAATTCGCAGATTGAAGAGGGGCCAGGGCAAGAACGTACGCTTCTCCGCGCTCAGCTTCGTTGAGTCCATGGTCTTGCTGAGAACCTTGACCGCCATGCCACAAGCCTCCTTGAGAGTGCAATCTTCCTTGTAGTCCTGCTTCAACAAGCTCTCTGCGCTAGCTCTGTTGGCACCGACAGCCGTCGCCTTCCATCCGCCGTAGTTGCCTGAAGGGTTGCTCTGGTACAGCTGGAACTGTCTACGAGGGTCCCATCCGGCGTAGATGAAGGAGACGCCAAACGGTCTCAGACCACCGTGTTGTGTGTATCCTTGCTTCAGATCGCATAGTCTCCGGACGAGCTGCTCGCATGGAATGTCTTCGTTGTAGGTGAGGAGGTATCTTTGGGCGGCCTGACGGGCATAGTTGATGAGGATGTTGGCGTCGGCCGTCATGCCTGCAACGGCGGCAAGCATGTTGCTAGGAGGCAAGAGCGTTAGAGTCTAGATATATCATGCTGAGCCCACAACTACGTACTCGTTGACGATGTACAGCTTCTCCGCTGAAGTGTCTTGCTCCAACAGCTTCGAAGTTACCTTGCGCTCGGCGGCCAAGACGATACCATCTTTGGCGAGGATTCCAATGGCAGTTCCGGCGTGGGAAATAGCCTCAAGAGCATATTCAACCTGGTAAAGACGGCCCTCGGGGGAGAAGATTGTTGTCTACCACAAAGTGTGAGCTTGCTGCCCTACGAGGATGGAGGGGACGTAGAGCAAGGGAAGAGCGGGGAGGGACCTTACGCGGGAATCGTATCTGCGAGACATGATGGGCGAGCAATCGAGTTGCACTTGGCTGTGACTGAGGGTTCGATTGCGGTACTGATCTCGTTTGTGAAGCCGACGATCGGATTCGTGTGAAGTTGCGGCAAGATGGTTTGTTGGTCGTCTACAGGGAAGGCTACGACTTTGGGTGCAGCTCGATGAAGCAAGCTCCAGGCAATCGACGCACGCGTTAGCTCCTTGCGCTGCCAACCAGCCTGGGGGAAGCAACCGGGGGAGGGCTGAGCCGCTGAGGTAAGGATGGTCCGAGCTTTTGCTGGGAGGCTCTTACCTCATCATCTTGCTTTCCATCTCGGACGGGGGGCTAGAGGTTCTCTCTCACCTTCCTCACCGGAGATAGGTAATCAGGCATCAAGGCCACAACAATGCATCCCCCGCCTCCCCGGCATCCGTGCACCTCTCACCGAGCGATGGGCCCAAAATCGTGGTTAACGACGCTTACCTAATGACAGGATGTGGAGGCGGTTCGGCATTTTCCCTCCAACCTCGCGCCGTTTTATCGCAGCGCACCGCACCGCAACCCACTCCATTACCTCCACCTTTGCGCAAGCTCCCTTCTGCTCCTCTCCCACATAACCCAAAAAGCGGCACGCGAACATCGCTCTCACCACGATCGACCTTGATTTCGTTGTCGCAAACTGTGTCGCGCGACGGTATACTCCTTATCTGTGCTGGAAGTCACTCGAGAGGGACGATTGGAAGGGTTCCCGCGCGGTCTGCGCTCTTCGCATCAAGCCTGTTGTGTCGCGCGCGTATCTTGGATGGGTCACATATCATAGTCTTTTTTTTTTCCTGCTCTGCCATAAAATCCAATGCATGCTTGAGAAAGACAGAGGACACCGGACCTTCCTGAATCGACAACTGGAGTAGATCCCGTACCTTCCCCCAAAGGTGCACCCTCGCGCTCCTTCCCAACAAAGGGAGACGGACGTTTGAACGCTTCCACCTCTCCTTCCTGCCACCGCTGGCAACAAAGCCATTATGTCTGGTAAGTGTCGCAACCACCTTCACGCTGCCCCGCAGCCAGCCACCCTCGTCTTTCCCCCCAAAAACATACACACAAGCACAAGCACACACATATACCTTACACTGCTGCATTCTTTACAACACAAGATCTAACCAGCATGGTTCGTAAAGGAGAACCGGAGCCTCGCCGCTCTGTGCGCGCAACCAAAGGTCAGCATACAAAGGCCTTCGATGACCAACCTATCGAACCGCCCAAGAAACGAGGAAGGAAGAAGAAGCAAGAGGAGGAACCAGAAGAAGAGATTATCCGCTGCGTCTGCGGCGCGACTGAGCAGGATGGCGACTCGGAGGAGCCTTGGATCGCTTGCGACAAATGCACAGCATGGCAGCACAACGTTTGCATGGGTATGAGTGTCTTTACTGAAGATCTCCCTAAAAACTACTACTGCGAGCAATGTGCTCCTCAGGATCACAAGGAACTACTGGCTCTCATGGAGCAAGGCGAGCGCCCGTGGGAGTCTCGCCGCAAGGCCTACGAAGACGAACAGAACGAGAAGAAGAAGAAAAAGAAGAAGGGTGGCAGAGCCGGAAAGCGCGCCAGCGACCCCAAAGAAGAGTTGTCGCAAGACACGAGGAGTAACAAGGCCGAGGACTCACCCGCTCCCTCAGAACCCGCCAAGGAGAAGAAGGACAAGAAGGACGCCTCATCCAAGGCCGCCACTGGCAAGCGCAAGACGCGAGAGGAGACTGGCGAAAAGGAAGCAAAGGTAGGCCTCCCCTCTTCTCGAAGCCTCGTGCAAAGCATTGCTAACTCTACCCTTCCTAGACGCCTGCGCCAAAGCAACGCAAAGTCTCAGAGCCAGAACCGTCCCCTGTCGTCAACTACACCGCACCGGCCGACCTAGATGCAAAGGTCAGCGATCTCCCTGAGGATCGCAAGGGACCCGCCCAACTCCTGCAAAAGGCTGTCACCGTCAGCCTCACTGCTGGTGCCAAGGACAAGACCATCAGTCTCCCGAAAGACACCACTATTGCGGCTAAAGCGGAGCGTATGGCACTCGAAATTGAACGCGCGGTTCACGATGCACACCCGGACCGTAGTCAGTACGCAATGCAGGCGCGAATCCTATATGCGAATATGAAGCTGAACGGCGACTTGACCAAACGCTTATTGAAGCGCACTCTGTCGCCAACTATGCTAGCCACAATGTCTGCCGACGAGCTGGCTACCAAGGAGCGGCAGGAGGCCAACGCTCAGCTGAAGGCGATCTCTGAGAAGCAGTCGATCCTTATCACCGAAGACGGTCCTCGTATGAGGAGAACACACAAAGGCGAAGAGATCGTCGAGAACGAGTCCTTCCATCAGAATGACGAAGGCAGGTCTTTCATAAGACGACCAAGTGGCCGAGAGGGGCAGGCTGGCATCAAATCCGACGGAGATTCGCACTACGAGAACTCAGTGGAGCTTCCTGCCCATGCTGGTTTACACATCGATACCCGTGGAGCCCGACACTCTCCCAAGCATCCCGACTTCGACATCAACAAGGTTTACGCAACCGTCAAATCTCCCACGGGCACACACAATCGCAGGCCGTCGGCGCCAAACCATGGCCCTGGTGTTGACGCAGACGTGGATAGACTTCTGCAGGAAGAGACGGACTCTCCACCCTATTCGCCAACCGATGAGACAGATCCTGATGTCATTTGGCGTGGCCACTTGGTAATGAGCTCGATTGCGGACTTCCCGGTTGCGGCCAGGTTTGTTGGTGGCGCCAACCTCTCTACCACCATTGCATTGCCCTGGACTAGCCTCATCCCAAAGAAACTCACGGTTGCCGGACGCATAGACGAACAGAAGGCGATAGAGTATCTCTGCGGCTTGCGCTACGCTGACCAGACCGACATTGTTGTCGTGGCAATAACGCCGTCGTCCGAGGTTTATAGACGGGAGTTCCAGGCCCTCATTGACTATTTCGTCTCCAAAAAGCGCTACGCTGTTATCGGCGACAAGGGGGTGGGCAATGTGAGGGACACCTATTTGGTTCCCGTCCTTCCGGGAGACAGCAACATGCCAGAGTTCATGCTCAACTTCTCTGATAACCTTGTCCCTCAGAAGAGGACGGAGCCTATGCTATTGGCTGTCTTCGTGTACCGCAATACCCCCCGACAACCTCAGTTGGGCGGCACCACATCTCAATCACCCGTCACCAATGTGCCGACTCCTCCACAGAGCGGCGTTCCTCCACGACACCCCTCGATATCTGGCCCGGCATTCTCGCCAACAGTTGCTCAGGGCCCCTTCCAGCAACCGGGCCATCCTGTTGGCAACACTGCCCACCCTTTTCAGGAATATCCAGCACAAGGGGCACATCAAGTTGTTCCGTCTAGCCAGCCTCCCACGGGCTATACGGCCGCTCGCGGCGCTGAACTCGAAAACCAACAACGTCAACAACAAGGCCAGGCGTTGGCACAAGAAGTTCTGGGTCCTTTGATCAACAGTCCTACGATGAAGTTCTTGCTGCCTCAAGCCTACCAGATGTCGCGGACAGAATGGGAGGTCGTTCGGGGCATCTTGGAGAGAGACCTGCGGGCGCGAAATGACTTATCTCATCTAAGTCAGCTGTTGGAGAAACAACCGCCAGCTGCTAAGGGCAGCGACATTGCCGCTCCGGTTTCGCAAGGCGCGCAGGGGGTTGCGCCATCGGCGTGATCTTGGGTTGTTATTGGATGGGCAAGCCAGAAAGGTTTGCTTGCAAAAGCGTATATCCTCTCATTCGCGGTACATAGGTAGCTGTTTATTGGGTTTCACGCGAGGTCTTGGGACTGAGAGACGGAGATACCGCTCCCTCGTAGGGGGCATTTGGGCCTTTGCTAAATAGGGATTTGCTCTGGAGTTTGTTGTCTAGCTGTATTGAAATAGGGCAATTAAAGCTGTTCTCTCATGTCTCTTTTGTGTGGCTGTATCGTGATTCGGTCTAATAGCTCTTGTCGGCAATAATCAGTCTTAATCTGCGGCCGACTTTCGTCCGCAAGAGCTGTTAAAAGAAGGATATCGAACCCGGCCGACTCTTTTATACTCCCTCTCTATCGCACAGATAGATACTACTGTATAGTTGGGTTCTTTATGGATAGGCTTCTCCTAGCTTTATGTTCATATTTCCCGGAACACGGCAGTTTGTTGAATCTTGGCCTCGTGGTGGAACTCGGTCAAAGCGATGCCGCCAACGAGTCCAAAGTGCCAACTAAACTCGCCAAGATCTCTCATCTCGGTCATTTCCAGTGTTGGGTCTGTCGCGAGTCAACAGCGCGGGCTGTCATCCTCTATGACCCATTAAAGTGCTGAAACGGCTGTCAATAGGCAGTAATTCAGAGACAGCACTTGCTTTTTCGACACGAACCGATCCCCCACCTCCCGTCCGGTTTATCTATCTACCTTCCACCGCCGGGTGCAATCAGTGTACAACGAATAGTAAGACGACAAACACTCCTATGCTTAACGGCATAGTAAGGTAGGTATGGGGAGCACACCCCGGCCCCGGGGGCCGGTTCGCACTGCCACTGGTTGGCTGAGCTGGCCGACGAATCGAAGAGGGTTCAGCCACAGCATTTTGCCGGGTTTATGCCTTGCACCCCACCACGCCATGACGACAACCTTGCTGGATTTAGAAACACGGGACCTTGGAGATTCAAGCATTGGGTTGAGGGGGCATGGGGGGGTGGGTGGTGCATTTTATTTAAGGCTGGCTGAGACTGGGTCTGGACCGCCTTTCCCCTTTGTGAGACTAGACAGACATCCATTGTTCAATCTAAAATTACTTGAACCGTTTCAACCTTCTTTCGACATCTTCAAGCTCAACTGGTTCAACCATCCAACCGTTGCTTCAATTGCTACGTAGTCATCTGTGAGTATTCGTAAGAGAGCGCCAGCCGTGACGTCACATGCGCGTCTAGCTGAACAACAGTTAAGATCTTTAGCAACGAACAACATCGTAGATTCCCATCTACCTACTACTACCAAGCTCTTCCATCACCAACTGCAATCACAATGGCTTGCGGCTCAGCTTCCTCCGGCCTCATCAACCGCAACGGCCCCGGCAGCGCCGCCACCTCCATCATCGACAGCATCGTCAAGCCCGCCGAGGCCACAGGCGGCAAGACAAAGTGCATCGAGTGCGACGGATACGAGTGCTGCTGCATCCCCATTCCCTGCACCGTCATGTAAGGGAATTCCGCTGCGGCAGAAACAGAAGTACAATTTGGCTTGAGTTTGGGACCTTCCTGGAGGGCGGAATGTAGCGACGCTGTGGAGGATTGGTACCGTTTGCTGCTTTTGATATCTTTGACGCTGGTGCTATTCCAGTGTAGCATGAATTCATGATTTGCCTTTGTGGCTATTCTATCGTCTACGTCGTTGACTCCAAGGCTGTTTGCCCCTTGCAAACCCCGTGAAGAGCACCTACTTCGTCGTCTGATCCAATATCATGTTGCGGGACCATCTCCTTCTGCATTGCCTTGTCTGGTCGACGCCCGTTTTTCGTGGCTCATCCCTAGTCTAGTCGGGTATGAAATTGGGTATCAATGCTTGCCAAAAACACTACGAAACTTTGCTCATCACTGCCATCACCCTGCTGACCAATCCGTGTATTCAGACCCCAGGATGCTCAAAGACCCACGGAGAGAGGGCCCTGAAGCTATCTTCCCACGTAGCAGCTGATATCTCGTTCCCTTGCTAAAGAAACAAAGCATCCGCCTCTCCCCATACTTCTTGTTCTCTTGCCTTGGCAAAAGTCTCCGCTTCTTTACCAGTCAGCTCGCCATCAATGACTGAGCTGGTAATGTCCGGTGCTTTGGGTGTATCAAGGCTTCCTAAGCCCTCGAGAACTCGCTTGGCCTTGTCAACCTGGGCTCGAATCGCAGCTGTCTCCGCTCTTGTACGATCGAGATTGGATTGCATCAGCGCAATAGCCGATTCGCGAGCTTGATGGGGTCGGTATTCGTTCAAGACGTGGTGGAAGTTGATGAAGAGGGTGCGCAAATCTTCAATTTTCGCAGCAGCCTTCCGGTCTGATTAGTTTGAGGGGGGATGGGAAAGGGCGGCGGTTCACTTACGTCGTCAGGCACCGTAGCCATGACGGCAACGAGCTCGAGAAAGTTAAGAAGCAGAGACTTGGCCATTTTCTTGAGCTCGAATGCTCGATCGAGATGCTTCCCGTCCTTCTCCTCCGAATGCGCCGGTACCAATCGCTTGATTTCACCTTCCTCGAGAGAAGGAAGCTTGTCGTCGAGCTACGCGGAAGTTCAGCGTCTCCGTTTTCAAGTCAATCGCCATCACGAGCCGGCAAGACATACCGTATAGTTTCCGCCCAAGACTTTCCATGTTCCTGCTGGCGGCTCAGCCGGAGGTTGGAGATTCATGAGGCTTTCGGGAACATCTGGTATGCGGGCTGGCAAGTTCTTGACAGCGATGCCATCCTTTTCTGCTTGTGTTTTCCGCAGCTCTTCTATCCTAGCGACGTTTTCCGGGGTAAAGTCTCTCCAGAACGGCGGCGGGTTGGGGAACGTTGAGGCCAGCGCATTTTGCGATGGCTCTTCTGGGTTGTCGGCCATGCTATGGCGAGGGTATCGTCGCTGAGAGCCGCTGGACTATTTCAGGTCGGTTGAGGTTTGCAATCATTCCCTAGTTGTTCGTGCGATGAAATTCCTGAAGTGTGTTTGTCTCGGTAGCGTCGAAATGGTGGAATGTGGGTGAGAGTTTAATGCAACCGCGAATTGCGCGACGGGACCTTGAAGGCACGGACAGCTGAAGATCGGCCTTGTCGAGGCAGGAATCAGGCCCGTCAGCAAGGTCGATTGGAAAGCTATGGGCACCCGGGGTAGCGTCGGCAGGCCTTTCGCGCTCTGCTGACCCCGCTGTGCTTGAATCGAACTGGCGCCAATTTTGCCCACCTGGCACCTGCACCTTGTCACCTCCACTTCCCAGGCCAGAGCAAAGGTACAGTTTCGCTACCACGCTACGTCGTTTGCGTTGCGTCCATTCAAATCTTAGCCCGAATACAAGTTCGCCCGGCTTTCCGACTTTCCAACACCCCCGAGCCATTGAGCATAGTCATCGCCATATCCGAATCTGCGGAGCATCTGCGCACGTTTAGGTGTCGTCAAGACGCGTTCATACCTGCCATGGCCGACGTACGATCCCTCCTCCGTCAACAACGTGCTGCCAGACGAATCGAGCACCCTCATGCCGCCTACTCTGATGCGGGCAAGCTCCTCTGCACCCTTTGCCACGAGGTGATCAAGTCCGAGTCTCTTTGGGACAGCCATATCCGTGGAACCGGGCATACGGCCAAGGTCAAGGTGGTGCAACAAGCGTCCACGAGCGCGAGCGGATCGGCGGCTGCAGACGGAGTGTCCTCGAACAAGCGGAAACACGACTCGGATGAGGATATGGAAGATGACGACGCAGCCGATGCGGTGCGGAAGAAACGAAGCAAGGGGAATATGGGCACTCCTGCTCGCCTGTCCGCTGGCGAGTCAGACCGCGATCGCAAGGACGTAACACTCACACCACCTTCGCTAAATCGCCGAACGTCCACCACACCAGTCCAGGGGGTTGAGATTCAGATACCATCGCGCCCGCATACTCCTGCGCATAGAGATGCGACTTCTTCAGTCTCAACGCCCATTGTGCAGCCCGTTGGTCCCTCGCCATTGATTCCGCAAGAGGAGTTGCCGACGAAGCCGGTCACTGCTGGCCCGGCAACTCAACAGAATGGCACGGCTGGGAAGACTGCTGGAGGGGTTGTTGACGAGGACGAGTGGGCAGCATTTGAGGCCGATATTGCTGCGACAGCAGCGCCGTATTCGGAGGACGCCGTCATTGCTGCACCAGCCATGACGGCCGAGGAGACTGCGGCAGCAGCGAAGACAGAGGAGGAGGAACAAGAAAAACGACGTCTGCTTGCGGAGAAAGACCTACTTGATGAGAAAGAGGAGGCTACTCGGGCACTGGAAACAGAGTTCGAGGATATGGAGGAGCTTGAGGCTCGAGTTCGGAGATTAAAGGAGAAGCGGGAGGCTTTGAGGAAGCAGAGCTTCACGGGCACCAGTGCGCCTGTCGAAAAGCCGGCTGAAGCCAGTGGCAAAGAAAACGTGGAAGTCAATGACGGCGAGGAAGAGGATGACGAAGACGACGAGGACGAGGACGATTTCATGGGCTTCCGATACCGCTCATGACAATCGCCTTGTTCAGTTGAGCATTCTTTTGTCTTTGTTCCAAGCCCCCGATCATTTCTCCATGGGAACCTCAGACGTTTTATGTGTTGTATAAATACTGTAACTTTACACTTTCACTTCTGGTTAGTAAATTCAACGTCCCCAGGCAATCCCTTTCAGTTACTTGGGCATCTCGAGGCTTGGCATAAACATCTTGATATTATTGAAATCCTTCCTAACTACAGTAGACATTACTTTTTCACCATTACCACCCTTACTAAAGGGAGAAATATGTCGTCCCCATATACGTCCATCGATATATCACAACCAAAACCCATGCAGGAAATCAAACTACCAGGCAGCCAATGCTGTTGGCGCGCGAGGCTTGTGCACAGGAGCTGTGCCGGTCTGGTAGACAGTCGCGGTAACCGTATTATAGACGGTAACGAGAGCCACAGAGACGGAGCAGACCGAGTAGGTCGGCAAAGCGTTGTCGGTTGTCGTGCCCGTCGCCGTTGCGGTTGCCGTGGCCGTGGCAGTGAGAGTAACGGCGGAGTCGCTGGGGACATCGGTCGGCTTGACGCACTTGCTGCCGTTCCAGTGGTTGCAGTGGTGGGCTGAAGTCGGGTTGGAACCATTGCCGTCGTCATCACCATCGCCGCCGTCGCCGCCATCACCACCATGAGGAGGCTTGTTGGTCGGCTTTCCGCCGTTCGAACCGGTGTGCGTTGCCGTTGCCGTTGCAGAGGCGGAAGCCGAGTCTGTCTGGGTGGCTTGCTCATCGTCATCATGGCCCGGCGCAGTCGTCTCAGAGCCCCCGTGGCCGGTGCGCGTCTTCGTCTTAGTATGTTCGTGGCTTCCGGGCGGCTTGGTCTTGGTAGTTGCTGAGCCATCAGGGCCTTCGCTGATGACTTCGGTGCAGGTGACGGTGACTTGTTCCTGCTCCTCGGCGGTCTTGGTCTTGGTAATGTGGACGGTTCGGGTTTCGGTCTGAGTTATTGGCTGGCGCGTGACTGTGAGGGTAGCCGTAACCGTCTCCTGGATGAAAGAAGCGGAAGCGGTCTGATAGACTGTGGAATGGGCGGTCTCGGTCTTGGTGATGACGCTCGGTGTGCCCTCCGGCAGACAGGGACAGGTGTTGGGGTTTGGCGGCGTTCGTCCTCTCAGGTTATCGGGGCGGGCCGCCGCGATTGAGGCCAAGGAGAGGACTGACAAAGTCAGGAAGCTACGTTGGTAGACCATGGCGACGACGGTTCCCTGGTACTTGAATAGATCAATCGAGACTATGAGAAGTAGAGAAGCTCGGAGGGTATTTGCTATTGTCGGTGGGCGCGGGAAGCTGAGTAGTGTAAGTGTGTTAACTGAAGCTGATGATCAAGAAAAACGGCCTCTTGTCAGGAAAGATGGCGGAGTTATATGCTCGTCATCTATACTGCGCGAGTATCTATTAGACAGTCTGCTTGCTGTAATGCTTCTGGGGAGCTTCACGTTTGCGCTGCTACGGAAGGAATGTCGTTTCCCTGTATTGCGACCTATTGCTCCACGATGAACAATAGAGCCTGCCGAGGGTACGGAAAATCGGAGACAACTGCTTCTGCAAATCTTTAGAGGGGGGTCCCATATTGTATAGCATTTCCCATGGCCATGAAGCCGTCTTCCGCTTAGATGGTCTTCAACCGAAAATGGACTGTGATCATGCCGTATTTGGAGATGAAGGGAGTTTCCCAAGTCAATAGTCCGTAGTTGAGCCCGGTTTTAGGGATCAGGGAGATGTGAAGAGGGAAAGAAGTGACACAGGGCTCAATATTGACGTCTGTGTCCCCAAGGGAGAGCTCCTAAGTCGACCCTTTCGCTGATAAGATAATCCGTCAAGCGTAAGCTTTGCGCGAGTCAAAAAGCAACGAAAGCCATTGGATACCATGCATTATGCGGTGGATACGCCGCAAAGATGTCGGGCAGGACGCATCACAACTGCGACGGAACGAATTGTCCCCATTGGGTGTTCGGCGATTGCCCGTGGAATTTAAGTGAGGAAGAAGCCGCCAGGTCGGGTCGGTGCAAGGTCCAGGTTTCGAACACACTACCGGGTCCTCCAGCATTTTTTCGTCCCAAAACACCAGAAAACCGCTGCGTGGAGCTCGGGCCTGGCCGTCCCGTCCCGCTGTGGGGAAGCCCTACGGAAAAGCTGATATTCCGGTGTCGAGTCCGACCGCCTGCCGGAATGAGAACGTCATTCCATCGTCGCAATCTTACGCTTTCTGCCACCAGCATCATAATCCAAACACGCGCCATCAACCAGTCCCTCACACCATCGCCTTGCCAAACACTGCTTGGTAGCGAAGCTCCGTCCACTCCTTTATGCTATTTTAGTTCTGATATTCACCGCCTTCGACCGGCACTGGCCCCAAGATTTACCGAGTACAGCGCATCGCACGACTAGGTACCGACCCGCCCATTTCTCGATTCGCGATGGGCATTTGTGCGTCATGCCTCGGGCGGGGAAACAAGGACGTCTATGACGAGGTGGGTGACGTTGCGGGCTGGCGCGCTCGCAGCGTAGCATGCAGCGGCTGACGGGCTTTCCAGGACGAAGAATCGCGACTTCTCTACGACGATCCAAACAATGTGCACTACGGCAGCTTCGGAGAGCAGAGCGTCAATGGACAGGAGGACCCGATGGAGGTGCAGCGAGAGACTGAGGCTCTGCAGCGAGTCGTAGCGAAGACGTCCGAGTACGTACTGATTCTTGACCCAAGCTCCGGGACGGCGGGCTTGCTCTCATGTCAGAACCGGGAGTGCTAACATCGGTCTTCCTAGCAATATGGTCGACATCTTCGAGACTGCCCCGCAGGATCACGCACATCGCCCTGCGCCGACTACGTTTGCGTATGCAGGGCAAGAAGCCCGCATCGTGCGGTACCAGCATCTCCTTTCAAAGCTGGCCTCCAAGGACGACGCCCCAACCGGTGTTCAAGTGGATTGGCTTCCCCAGGAAGATGACACCATCGAAATGCGACACGGCGTACCAGCAGTCAAGACCGAGTTGGACAAGCCCCTTGTCGGTACATTCGCCGATGCAGCAGCGGCAATGGCTTGAAACTCTTGGTCATGAATCATTCTCCTGGTTTCTGCCCACCCGAGCTCACGGGCAGGGCGGCTAAGCTATGCTCCTTATTCTTGCGCTGTCTTTCTATCCAACATTCGTATTGGTCGACGCATGGTCAGGGTCCCGTCGGATTGCGGCAACATGGGACGGAATGGCATGGAGTGACGACATCTTTTTCTCTTTTCCCTCGATACCCCTCCAAACACAGTATGCAGACACACGCTTCTCAAAATTCCACCCACACAAAATCAGAGCAGGCACAATCGCACACCCGAGAAGCATCCACATTCACTCACATATCGCATTTTCTGTTTGTTTGTTTTTCTCCCCCTTCTTCCATTTTCTATTTCAGAACCCTGTACTTGGTTCTAAACCCTTGTATAAAACGTCTGGGCAACAACGAGGTTATGAGAAAGGTGGACACGATGGGCCCAAAAGACCACGAATTAATCAATGAAAAATTCCCTCCATCCCACTTTGGAGCCCCCCTGGTTCGTACCATGGCGGGCCAATGATTGTGTCTCGAATATTCTTCAGCGGCAGGCCATGGGTTGCCTAGCCCATTGAAAGATGGCCACGTGCACCACCGGCTGATGTTTACCTTTTCTAGTGTGGACCCTTTGGCAAGGAATGTTGCATCCTAGTTCGGGCCATGTCTGAAAGCGACACCTTTAGCTTGGATTTCGGCCGACCTTTCGGGGCGGACGAGCACATCAACACTGGACAGGAGGGAAGCATTTAGAGGCTCATATTAAGACTCTGGTGCCCGCCATTCAGGGTTGTGCGGGAGTCTGTGCGGTTCCCGTGGCTCATTGGCGGAGACAGGTCCAAGAAATGGTACCTTGGATGTGAAGTGGGATGGACGGCATGAGGAGAGGTGGTGTGCTGCGGCCAGATGGGGCGGCCTCCCAGTCCCATCTCATGAAGCCCGACACAACCCACCATTCTTGTCGTCCCTCTTCTGTCCCCAGTCTCTCCTACGCTAAGCCCTTCTTTCTGCTCCTCCCGCTCCTCCCTCCACCTTGGCCTCAGGTCAGATGACAGGTACGCTTCTCAGTGTGCTGTGCTTACAGGGGCTTTGGGGAGGGGCACTCGCGGGAGTCTTTGAGGGGGCTCATCCCAAAGCCGTGGGGTCTCGCCTCACTTGCTAGACGGCGACACGTGAGAACGAATGACGTGCCTTGAGGAACATAAACTTTACAAGCTCGCTGTAGAAATACGAAATAACAAAAGAAATAGGAGCGAGGAGGGCCTGGATGTTTGCTTGAGGGCCGCTACTCGTCGTACCTGTGCTGTACCTAAACCAGATCGACGCAATACCGCCTGCTGTCCCGTCGCCGTCGACTATCGCGTGCCACTCTCATTCGCCGGCAGAGTCCGCTTTCTGCAACTTACTTACCTGATAAGCACGCCAAAAACCTGCTGGATGGGCAGCCGTGCAGGAGGGGAAAAGTGGGAGAGCTTTTCTTCATCAATCCCTCCCCAGTTATGTGTGCCCTGGAGAAGGAAGCATGACTGCCACGCTTGGCTTTGCCATCATTCGGTTCCCAAAATTCAATAGTCTTTGGGTCAGAGCCGTTCGAGATGGGCTTGGAAAAATGCGTATCTGTATGGCCAAGGCCTTCTAGGCAGGGGACAGAAGAGTCAATTCGAAATGACGGAAGGGACTCCGAGGGCAGCTTGAGATGAGCATACAAACTAAGCAAGGTGCTGCTGAGGGGCCCATCATTCGAGTCCCTGTCGCCTCCTAAGCGGCGGACCGGGTCCGCGACGAAGCATCCTACACGAAGCGGTCTCTTGCGGGCACCAAACGCACACAACACTTTGACTGCCAACGAGGGCTGGAATTAACTATGCCGAAGTGCTCTCCGGGTGAAGAAATGAAACTGTACAGGATCCTGTAGCCTCCGATAATTCCGTCTCTGGAAAATTTGAACCTCCGTCCGCCCAACCTGAGCAGAAGGGACCATGAATAAAGTGATGAAGAAGAGGGAGAAGAAGAAGAAAAAGAAAGAAAAAAAGAGACCAAAAATGATGCAGAATCAGCGAATGAACGGCCGTTACGTGGTTCAACTTGGAAATTCCCCCCAAAGCCAGGGTCCGACAGGAAACCTCTCCAGTCCCGCAGTGTGTCAAAGACTTGCTTGTCGCTTTTCCCTCAATCTTTCTTCATCAATCGATTTTCCGCACCATTGTTTCCGCGCACATTCCATTCCGTTTCGTCATATCGTCGTCCCCTCTAGATGTGAGGGAGGTTCGAGAGCCACTGATAGTAGAAGCCAAGTCAGCAAACGGCAGTCCTGTAGCTGGCACACACACACTCGCAGCACGCACACACACACACACACACACACACCACACCCCCGACTCGGCTTACCCCTGAGCAGCAAATCCGCCACTCCCACCAAGCCGCACAAAACAGGTCCGGCAAACGAGGGGCATTCGTATATGGAGAAAAATTCGGAGAGGGAGGTGAGGGGAAAAGGGAAGAGTCGAACCAAAGAAAAAAAAAGTTGCAACATACCCATATAGGAGCCCCTCCATGGACCATGATCAAACCGTCCTGCAGCAAGCAAAGCAGCAGCCAGACAGTAGACGATCCATCAGTTCAACAGATTCACCCGTGTCCAATGCTGATTATTCATTTCTTGGATCTGGCGGTTGACCTCTTGTATCTCGAGGTTTGTCCGCTCGATCGTCGCCTTGCGGTTTCCTTCGCGGCACCACCGAGCGACGTCTCCTTGCATCTTGGTTAACCGACGATACTTCTTGTCCATGTCGTAGCACAGCTTGCATCGGTCCTCGTTTGTGATGGTTTCGTACACCAGCTTCAGCCCGCACGTTTCGCCCGTCCGGTACTCTTTGTTGCATTGCTGTTTGAACTGACCCCATCTCCAATATCCGCAGGACCAACGTGTTTGATAAAAGTAACACATTGTTCTCTTAATTCTCGATCACCCCCTGTGGTCGTCTTCTTCTCTCTTGTCTCTTTTTTTTTTTTTTTCTTCTTCCCTTCTGGTTTTCTCTTTCCTCTCTTTCAGTATTTTCTTTTTCGATGTTGTTTGTTCCTGTCCCCCTGGCGGGCCGGTCCGTCTGGCTAGCTAGAGAAGGCAACTAGCTCGTCGATGCGCAATGTGGTGGAGAATAGAATGGAGGAGACAAGGAGGAAGAGAAGGAGCGGTGGCAGCAGAACCGAGAGAGGAGTAGAAGTGGTTCGTTTCGTTTCGGGGGTTTCGGGTAGGATATGAAGTCACGGATGCTAGGTTTGGTACTGGACTGTTCAGACTCTGTTCAGCCAGACAAAAGGTTTGTTAGCCATCTTTTATTTATGTTTTTTTTTCCTGTTCTCTCATTCCCATCTTTCCAAGTTGGCCGCCCCCCTTCTTTCCTTGCCCCCCTCCCCTACAACATGCAATACCATGCTGTACACAATGATGCTTCTTTGGCCACTTGTGTCCAATGATGGTCCCTCTTCTTCAGGGATAGCCTTTTTGGCTTGGGGTGCTTTTACCATGGGGGTAAAATGCGTGGGATGAACAGAAATTGAATGCCATGGACCATGGTAAAGGAGGGGCGTGTGAAAAGAAAATCCAAAGGAAAATGGTTCAAAACGGAACTGACCAGGCAGACTGTAGTATTATTGAGAAATGGCCGCAGCAGTCGCAGTAGACAGCAGCAAGAATCCGGCCAGCTACGAGTGGCAGTGGTGTGTCTGGCAGCCCGTTTCGGCAGAGACAAAGGATGTCGTTCGCAACCGCGATCGAGAAGTCTCTTTTTTTTGGCTGTTCGGCGCAATGGCCGTTGGGCAGCAGTGGTCTCTTTTTGCTGGCCCGGCTCGGGGGTGTGGGTAACGGAGGTACGTTTTCTCGGTGTTGCTTGACCGGAAAAACAGCAAGGTGAGGTTGTTCGTTCCTTTTTTTGTGGCCGTTTCGAGGTTTAATAGTCTTTTGTTACTCGTTTTCTGATTTTCCCCAGCAGCGATGTTTCCGTAGCAGGCGTATACAAAGCGGATTTTGACATCGATGTACTTGTCAAACCCCTTTTTTTCTTGCAGGTTCTTGTCTCATAGTAGCATGTTCTTAGTCTGAGGGGCAACTGGGCTAACTTATACTTTGTCAAATAGTTCGAGGTCGTTGATTGGGACCCGCACGATGTGTTGTCACGACTGGCACACATAATGCCTCCATACAGATACAATTCACCACATTGCGCTACACTACACACGTACGTTCGCGCATGTATACCTACATGATGCATATTCAACAGGCCGCCGCCAGGGTCATGTTCAACTTATTTCCTATTCGAGGCGTGGGAGCAATCATCAATTGTCCACTAGCAGTTGCCTCCACTTACACAACGCTCGTGTCCAAAAGAACGACGACAACCGATCCATACCGTCGTAATCGACTGTGATGCTTCTTAGAAAAGCGGAAATGACGTACATTACATCTGTTGACTTTCATGGTGGGTATCATGGCTTTCCAAATTCCCTCTCGGATTCGCCCCGTATGGTCCATCGAGTCTCGTCGCCGAGATCTTCGTCGTTATTCCCCTGTCGACGATACGAACCTTGGGACGCATACACTGGCCTATCACCCGCCGGCTTGCATCTCGAGGCTGAGGCTGGCGGTCATCGGAGGATATCTGCTTGCCACGTTTATCGTAGCTTCGAAAATGTCCTCGCAGGGCCCAGGGGGCCTTGCTCGACGCTTTGCACTCCACTCTTCAGCGTTGGAGATGTTTTGATATGATACGACTTGCAAGGGGGCATGGAATTGAGAACAACAATCTAGCCTGGCTTCATATATGAACGATGCAGGGGAAGAAGAATGCTTTGAACTTGGTGTGGGTGGACATGATGAGGCGTTGGTAGGAGAAAAACAAAACGAACGCCTATTGTGTGCCTGAGCTGCCAAATTTCAGGTACGAATTTGGGTGTCATATCCCTTCTATCTTTCTTTGTATCATTGGGCGTTCATTTTAGTGTTCAAGCAGCTGCCCACCTCTCAACTCCGTCTGGTGTGGTACATTCCTTCATCAGGCACGATTCCTTTACCTTACCGCAAAATCATTCCTCTTTCTTGTGGCTCAATGCCTAGTTGATGTTCTTCCCTGGCCCCTTGGCCATGGCATTCACAAACACAAGGCGGAATTTCTCCACTTTCAACGGGCTTTTCTTGTATGTATGTGTACGGATATGGTGCTGCGGAAGACTTGCAGATTTCATCTCCCAGGTAAAACCTTGAACAGCACCCTTGAGGGTTCTTTGAAGTGGGTGTTCCCGCTACGGGCTGCGACCTGCAAGTATTGGAGTGACGGGGCAGTATTTAGCCTCCCGCTCAAGGTAAGGCTGTCTTCTGCCCGCTCTGCTTGCGGCCGCTGTGGGGTCCTCTATCTCATACGTGCTTGATCCCTTGTTGCGGTTTTGTTTCTTGTTTCCTTGTACACGGGCCATGTTTCGTCCCGCCAGCAAGAGATAATTGTCAGCTTGACGTGGAGTGTAGGGATATTTGACCATTTCCCCTGGAGGGGCCTTGGCAAAGGAGGGGAGGGTGGATGGTAGCCGGCATGAACCATCGAGCCATTGTCTATTTTCTGCGGCATTGCTTTGGAAACCATTGGCTCCCCCACACTACTGGCATATGGATAGAGCATTATGGTGAAGGCCGTGTCTAAGGTCGGAAGGCAAGGGCTTTTCCACGGCGCCAGGGTTGGTTGACCGAGGGCCGCTCCGTGAGACCACCTGGGAGTTGCCTGCCGCTCATAATGGAACGTCATCGAGGTGACATGGATGCAAGGTTGACATTTTCATCGCCACCTTCCTATCCCCTACTTCCATCACCGCCAGAGTACTTGAGCCTAAACACGCCCCGGAACCCTGACAAGTACACTTGAATACCCCAGACGAGACACAATGATCAAGGAAGCAGAACTGTCATTGCAACCTCAGGGACCCTTGCAGCCACTCGGGCAGGGACAGGCAAAGAAACCCCGGACAAGGCCAGCTCAACATGCAGGCGACATCGATCTCAACATGTCAGGAAGAAAGCCTTGTCACTCAGGGCCAGACCTTTCTGAGCCGGATGCCCGTTTCCTGAGTCCATCGACCTGGTCATTGACGAATAATCGGTCGTCTCATCCACCCCTGTCTTATATGGTCTGCTTCTATGGAGGGGGGAGGGGGGGGAGGGGGTTGATTTTGTCTCGCCTTATGATGTAGGTCTTATCCTACCACCCAGTGGTGGGCTAAACCAGCTCACCGGCCATGTGGGCTAATAACCGTCTAGGTGTACGGTCGAAGAGATTGAGAAAGTCCGCAGACCCATCCCCTCACATGAACTATCTGGCTTGTCCAAATACGGACAGTCCGTTTGCTTCGTCGACTAGATGGCCTTGGGTTACGGCGGACCTTGCGACGAGCAAGTTGAGAACGCTCCTCACGAAGGCCTTCGGGCGTTGGTTAGGGCCCTGGGCAGGACAACGTGGCGGCCGGCTGCTGGCCATGGCCGATGTTCCACACTGCAATGCGTTCGATCTGCATCAGAGCCCCAACGAAGGTGCATGTACCTGGACCCAAGTCACGTTGAAGGTATCTCCTGATGAGAGGCATTGTACTCACTCCCTCTTCTAGTTTGGGCTGGCAATGTGCGTCGGTTGCCGATCAAAGATGCAGCATCACGGCTCCAGTCCGCCCCTTCACCTATTTCACCTTAGTGGGTGACGTGTGGCTTGCCGAGTCCACCGGACGAAGTTCCCCGGTGACACCTCATTCATCAGATGTAGCTCTTATTACAGTCCGCAGGTAACGGCTAATCAGCGTTGACTCTCATTGGAATATAACGGCACCGCCTATTCCTTCAACCGAGCCTGTCCCTTGACTTACTCGATGACATGCTCGCGAACGTTGTCAGCAACTGACACGGGCTTCCTATGATTGGGTCTAGGCTAGAAAAGAACCGCGCTTGCAGTGGTTTGTCCAATCTACTCGAGCTGCGACAATCAAAACAAGGCTCCGGTGCTCTGTGCAGGTTGGGGGCAAATTATCGAGTTTGATCGAGCTTCCTCGCACTTAGCTTGGCACACATGACAGATGAATGAAGTTGAGTGGTCGAGCGGGGCCGCGAACACCTCTCCCGACATTGACACACCTCCTGCAACTGTTCAAGGTTCACAAGTAGGGAGTCCCTTGTGAAAGATGGCGATGCGCTGTCAACTACAAGACCGTTTATGGAAAGGCTTGCGTTCGTGTACATCCAAAGGCTCGAAAGACTACAACGGAGAATGCCACCATTCCATAGACACGGCCGTTATTTGACTGGGAATAATAGCTGAATGACCAGCCGCGCCACTCGAGACTGACCTGGCCACGACTGCCGCCGGCGAGGGCATCATACTTTGTCAGGGGGAGGAGGGTGGCTGTAAAGAGGGGAGGCCAGAGATGCGGCCAGTCCATTTACGAGGCCGGGTGATCCGCGGTCGGCGCCGAGACGACTGTCGGTGAGGTTGTCGCTCTCGCACGGGCACGTCGTGAACCGTAATCTTGAGTGGGAGCTGGTGGGCAAACGGGACGGCCCGTTTGCCGTGGGAAGGATGTTGAGCACGTCCTCACCTCGGATGTTCTAACGGTGGAAAAGCTCTCTACACGAAGCGAGGTAGCACTGGAAAAACTCCACTAGGAGTGCTTTAAACCGTCTACCTATCATGAGCTGTTGGGGTGTTGCAACTAAGGAACACCTCTAGACCTTGATTTTGACAGGATGAAGCTAAAGAAACACGCAGCATTAAGGCCAATGATTATCCCGGGCTTCCAGGAGACGCCTGCAGGCCACCCGAACTCTTGGGTTTTTGCGAATCATGCGCTGAAGAAACGATGCACCGTTGTTTGCTACATGATTGGGTGCATTTGGTGAAAAGAGACGACAAATAAAGGCCAATGACGGGCAGAAGAAACGCACGTCAGCACGCTACTACTCGTGGTTGCCACGAGATGGTAGGGTACGAACGTGTAGACAAGCTGAAAGCCTACTTTGGTGGAGAAGCTGTGATCAGCTGCATCGCGCTCCAGGACCAGCAATGATTCCGACATGGACTTCCACGGGATCCAATGTCTGCCAGGCCTGCTACGTTGATTCTCGATTGAGTGACAACGGGAAAGAAGGCAATCTGCTAATGAATGAAACACTAAACGGGGACAGACGACGTTGAGACAAACAAAGTATCTCGATGTGACTAGGATGCGCTTGACGTTGGCCGCCCAGAACAGACGCGTTTCTGTTGCAGCCGCAAGGAAGGCCACCCAAGAGCGTGATTGGACGAGGCCAAATTCAAATTGGTTGGGCCGGGAAAATCGGCCTCACCACCACATCAGGAGCCAAAATCCTTCTGACAGTATGCGACGTGCTTCAATTGCCAGACATCTTCAAAAAAAAACAGCGCGGTTCAAGCGCGGGGCCTGGGCCAAAACCAACAATGCAGACGGATGGTGGCAGAATCTGGTGTCCTTGTCGTGGGAAAAGCCGCTTGGCTGCTGATTCCTGCCCGATGCCAATGCGAGAGCCCATCTGGCTCGTTCATGCTGTGTGACGGGATGTGATTGATATCGTTCGATGCATTTTGAGCTCCGGCTGGTTGATGACAACGAAGGCGTTGACAAGGCGTAGTCAAGACTGCAGCCTCGTTCATCTAGGGGCTGCATACTGTACGCCGTTTGCTGTATGCTTTGACCGGTTCGTAAGAAGCCTGCCCTTGCAGATTTGATGGCGGTTCCCTGCGGCATGCAGCAGGTGGTACAATCATGCCTAGAATAGGTGCGCCAGGGTCTGCGTTGTCCATTGTCGTTGCAACTGGGAGGATGGCGGGAACCGGGGGTAGCTGCGGGCGTCCGTTGCGGGTGGGTTCGAGAGCACAGAATGGAGGGTCTTGACAGCAGTTCGTGGAGAATCCAGCTGTACAAGGGCACGATGAAAGGCAGGTGAAGTAGCCAGGGTCAGGGTTCTTGCTCAGGCTGTAGTAGATATCAGTCGGTTGAAGCCCAAAGCTCGATGTGTGAAAGACTGAAAGTAAGGCACCTTGGAGAGCATGGGTAGAAGTGAGCTTCTCTGTTCGGATCATTCTGTGTCTTGGGGATGATCATGAACAGGCGCAAGTCGTGCCGGCCCGTTATGAGGCCAGGTCCAGGTTGTCCGTGAATACGGCCTAGCCCTTATTCAGGGGTTCTCGGTAGGAAACTAGACCGGAAGCGCTGGCGGCTCAGGGTAGGATGTCGGATGATAATTTTGCTTCCCACTTGAAAGCGAGTAGTTGGATCTCCAAGCTGAGACGCGTTTATTGGAATTGACCAATTGATCAAGGCAGTTGTCCGGTGCGTGAATGGCAGGGCGTTGGATTGTGGCTTGATGACGGGTGTGGATGTCGGACGTTGGAAGGCAAGGAGGAAAGCGCCGGTGGAAAGCGTAGACCCGGAGCTGTTTGAAAAGTGGGTCTCTCGGAGCAAGCAAGGGGTGTCACAGCCGACTGCATTCGATGCAGTCGGATGATGGCCATTTGGTGGTCATTGGTGGTGTTGGGTGACTGCCCCATTTCGGCTAGATCTTTTAACAGAAGGCACTCCCCGTGGCGACCGGCACGAGGAAAGAGGTGGCCGAAGTCTGCGGAGACAAGAGAGACGGGGAAGCTAAAAGCCCCTCCCGTGAGCTTCCTTTTTCTGTAGATCTCTGGAACCCCATGCCCCCTGAGGTGATGAAGGTATCTATCTACCTTAGGTACCTGAGGTAAAATAGGCACCTTAGTTTCCCCCAATTCATTCTTGCTACCTTAAGGTAAGGCAAGTTACCTTTAATTGTCCAAAGAGGCCGACTTCCTGCCTCAGTAAGGTAGGTACTCCGCACCTCAAGGTACCTTATCTTGAGTTACAGAAGAAGTAGGGAGAGTGTCTTGATATTGAGATACCTAAGCCTGAAGGATACGCGGTGGCGGCGTTAGCGTCCGCTCCAATTCAGCGCCGGTTGCTATTTTCAACGTCTTCTTTGTGGAAAATAAGGTGCCTTATGCAACGTGGAACGGACACAATGGTTCAGCGATTGAGGAGAACGCATCGGAGATGTTGTGCTGGGGAGAGTCGATGGTGGCTTGGGAAAGTGCGTGTTCGTTCCGGCGCTACCTACCTACCTAGGTACCTACCTAGGTACAGTGCCAGTTCCTGCCGTTTGATGAAGAAGCACCTTGAGCTCCTGCCGATTACCAACCTACGACATTAGGAGACATCGATGCGCACTGTGAGTCGCACCTGCCGCCAGTACCCCTGTTCCTGGTTTCTGCCTGGACCGTGTGACGCAGCCTGGAACGATGGAGGCGCAAGCTGTACGTACGGAGTAGATGCACCAATCTCAAAGGTGAAGGTGCGTCAGGCCCCATTCCTTCCCCTCCATATTGTCACGCTCCTTCCCAGTTCAATGCATGTCGTCAACGCATCTGCAGCCTCAGTATCAACCGCATGCTCATGATACAAGTTTCCGCCGGATGAAAGGCACGCCTGTCAACTCATCATCAGCCTTTGTCATCGGCCTCAACTCTGGCCTCGACTTTGACCGCGAACTTGGACCCAATCTCCTCGGCCCGTCAACTCGCTTGTCCACTGTCTCTTCTCCGTATCCTACCTACCCGAGCACCCTATCCTCTGCCCCTCATCCGTCCCCGTCATCCATCCCTTCATCGCGCCATTGCTTCGCATTCCAGCTTTGTCCGATGGTTCCCCCGATCTTTGCCAGCATCGAATAGGACAGTCGATCTTGAGTGGACGCGTTAAGCATTCCGTCGCATCACACTTGAGCTGGAGTCTTCATGCTCCTCTCGTCACATCAACGAGACTACTTAGTTCCGCGCCGCGGATTTCCTCCAAGCGTTTAGTCTGCCGGTCGCCGGCCGGGCCTCCAACGACCAGTCTCTCCACGGCACGCGCGCGCAAAGCGCAAAAACATCTGCCTGCACCGCCTTTCTGTTTCATTCTTGACGCGCGCGGTACTCTCCCCGACTCGTCTAATCTTCTCAACTTCAGCGTATCTTTCTCTGTTCCCAGCCTTCTATCCACACAAGGTACCCAACCTATCGCGAGGCTTGCCGTGCCATGGTACGCAGCATATCTGCCCATAGTCTCCTCTGAAGCACTTGGCTCTATCCCGCGCTCCCTCATAGCGACCTCGTCGGTCCCCGCGCCCCTACTTGCTTCTCACGCAACTCGTTTACGCAATTTCGTGCTTGGCGCCCACCCGGGCTCCGGACCATACTCCGAACCGAAGAATCCCGCTCTATTTCATTGTTACTCCGAAGTAAGGTAACGGGCAACTACCTTATTGACCACGACTAGACCTGAACAGCCACTCCAGCTGTACCAACTGTTCGCACAGCTCCACATCTTCGTCTCATCTGTGCTTTTGCTCTTTGGAGACCAGAACAAGTTACTTGGTGTCATCACCATCTCGTCGCTTGCAGGCGACTGAGTCAGCCATGGACGCAATGCACGACGAGATGGCCCCAGATCAGCTCCTCTCTTCGACCCGCCAGCTTGCTATATCACATTCTTCTCCCGCATTGTCTGTACCCGCCGGCGATCATGGCCTGGGCTACGCCTTTTCCTCCACTCAGCTCGACTCCACGTATCCGGCGGTCACTGATGCCCGACCATGCCTCCAAGCAGCCGATGGGGCTCGTGACGATGATTTCTACTACCACCATGACGAACGGTACCTTCTCGAGGCCTCGTCAGCGTCTTGTCTGGCGTTGTTTCGGCCTCCATATCAGCCTACGGGCGCCATTTCAGAAATTCCAAACGAGATAATGCTGCACATCCTTGGCTATTTGGATGTGAATGATCTCTTGTCAACTTCGAGGGTAGGCGTTCCCCACACACAAGTGACTGTCTATTCCCTTTTGCCTTTGAACTCACTCGCGTCATCCTCCCTCATGTAAAATTCCCACCTGTGCTTGCTGTCCCCTCCGTTGACCGACCCCGTTGTTGCTGAACTCTGCTGATGGCATAGACCAATCATCACCTGCGTCACCTATCCCTCTCGCCTATTCTCCATCACTATCGGCTCCGTCACACGCGTGCCATCCTGCCGCCGTTGTTATCTTCCCCTTCCCGCCCTTCTCTGGCGGAGCTCATCGCCCGTTCCATCTTTCTGACTCACACATCGGTCGTCTCGCGACGCCTTGCCCGCTCTCTGGTCTCCATCCGACTGTCCCGCCGTCTGGCCTCGCGGCCCTCGGCCGAAGCCCTCGTCGAGCGGGCTGTGCTCCCGCCGGAATGTGTCCCCGGAATGAGTTTGGTGCAAGTCGCGCCCGCTCTCGTTGCGAAGCGCCGCGCTATTGAAAAGGAGAAGGTCAAGGATGGCTTGAGGAAGTGGGTAGAGGGCGTGTGGAAGGGCGAGGTACGTCAGCGAGAAGAGGGTATCAAGAAGTGGGAGGAGACCAAGGGCGTGGGTAGGGTCTGGCGGCTCCGACGATTCTGGGAGCGTGTGTCGAGGGGCGACGGTGCCGGTCTCCGGTAGGCCCGTGAGGCACTGTGTACGACTCTGAGCTAAACTGAGCATTGAATTAGGCATTGGGTTGCGGCTCTGGGAGCCGCCAACGGCGTTACTGGGCAGGGATGACGATGTATTCATGATAACGTCGGTCATAATGAGCCAAATATGCACTAGCAAGCAACTGTGAATTTCATTGCCGTCTGTCTGTCTTCGCGCAAGGTGGTACCTTTGCAAGTCACTATGGAACACACACGGGATAGCATCCTGTCGTAGGTTGCGATGAGTTGTAGATGTAATAGTCGTAAGGTGTGTTAATGCTACAAGTAATCATACTCCACCGCGCTCAACCGTCCTACAAACCAGCCTAGCCAGCAAGCACCGGCCTCGATAAGTTTTCCCTTCTGAACCTTCCACCTTAACGAGACCGTTTGCTCGTTTCAAGAATGATAGCAATAATGCAAAGAATGCCTACGAGGACAGAAGCCCAGAAAGAACAGAGCGAGACGTAGTAGATTGTACGGATTCGACTGTCGATTCTCTTTTGGAAAACAGGGTCAAAAAGGCCGTCTTCGGAGGGATACGTGGTCTTGGGGGGTTTCTTCCAAAGTTAGTAAATTATTGATACATGATGCACACGGTAGCAGAATTGCACTCACTTCGGTCGAGGGCTTGGGATACAGAACGGGGTGGCGATTACACTCGGGGCATTGATGATGAGGACCGGCACACTGTCAATTGCCATCGTCAGCGAGTCTGCTCTGGTAATCATCAACGGATCGAGAGTCCCGCGATCGTGCATACCTCGTCACAATAGACATGCCCGCAACCGAGGGGCTGGCAGAAGGAAGCGCGACATTGTCTGCACTGGTGGGCGGGTGCTACACCAGGAGACGCTGAGCCTGATGCCGGAGTCGACGTCGGTGTTCTTGGCTCCGCCCCGGCAGCCGGGACATTGGTGTCATTCGCAGCAGTAGCCATTGTGAGCTTGTGATGGTCGTAGTCTTGCGATGGGCGAGGGGTTTGGCTGTTCGATTATCCAGATGGAGCGACAAGTTGATAAAACGGAAAGACGACGGCGTTCGCGCGAGAGGAATTGCTCTCCAAGATGGATTTATCTCAGTGGCGGCCGGCGCGGAAAAGAGAAGACTTGAAGAACGATGTCTGGGGTTTGGCTGCTGCCGGAAGAGAACAAGGACAGAGCTGTGTTGGGATGATTGATGCCATGTAGTCCGGAGATTGGGACATCATGTTAGCACTCAAGACTGGAACCTGTCAAATGCCATCCATATCGAAGGAAGGAATTACAGAGGTACATGATGATGCTGGGTAGCTCCTTAAACTGACATATACCCAGCCTGATGTTTCTGCTTCACGGGCAGGTGCATACTTGAAGGAGGACCGGTGCGTGTTGCGGTATTGCTGACATGCCGCAAAAGCTTGGAGCACTAACTCAGTGCCAGAAGGATGCCCCTGAAGCTTCTCGCAACTGCTTCCTGAGAATAAAGCGTCACTGCCGCTTCTGAATGATGGCACCTTCCCAAGGAAAACCTGCCCCTAATGTCGTTGAAGGTACTCATCGTGCCAAGAAAGATTCTGTGTTCAATGCCTCTCGAGGCTGTTTCTACCTACCTTACCCAGGTACCTTCCATATTCCAGATCTTGTCTGGGCAGTCATTCAATAATCGGGATCGGAGGTAAGTGGACGTCGAGTCAATTTTCCTTTTACGAAAGAGATGTAAATACGTCAGTATCACCGCCAACCAACATGGTGCCGAACATTCACCTCATACACTCGTCTTCAAGTCGCGGATGCCATTGACGGGTAATTGCGAGCGTTCGGAGAACCAGATTACTCCAAGGAAAATGAAGTCGCCTTGTTCCTATAGCGATTGAGCACTGAGCGCGGAAGGATTGGTCGACACCCTACAACAGGTTGATCGCCGTCAGCAACTCACGCCGAACTTTGCGCGCCACAATGCATGACCATGCGTAGAGCCACTTCTTGTCTCCTTGGTCCGGCTATCCCAATACTTTTTAAAGTATTATATAGCGACCAAGCTGTATCTTTCATGTTTTGTAGCTATGTGCGAATACATTTTTCAAATGTTTGACATGCCATGGACCTATCTTATGCGGGAAAGTAGGATGGACAAAATAGCCCAGAAGCCTAGGTATTGGCGACCTCTACGGGCCCAAGAGGCAGCCTGATTAGACAATTCAGGGCCAGAGACGAAAATTCCGCTATTATTCTTGCAATTCAGAAGCCCCCCAAGTCTTACACCTACATCTCTCGCCTCACCAGGCGCTGAGACACTACACATCTTCTGCAACACGAATTTCCATTCAGGTCCGAACCAACGGACACTGGTTTCAGTACTTCTTCCGGATCCAAACAATCAGTTGCACCGTCTGACTTGGTGTGGGGCACCAGATCTTCAACAACTTACTTTTGCGCCAGGGTTTGAGAGATGTGGCCTATAGGGGGTATGTCGTCTGGCTGCCCAGTGCAGATAATGATATCGCCGAAATTATGCCCGTCGTTCTACTTTCTTTTTCTGATTCTTCATCCGCTGCAGATATTATCTAAGATGACCGAGAACGAAGTGTCGCAGGACGAGTCAGATATACAGGGTGATAGCCAATCCGATCATTTCTGCACGTGTACGGTCCACGGATCGAAGTCACCTCGGACATGGCGGCAGTGTTCTGCCTGCGTAATCTCCTCAAGCCTGTGACAAAAGTTTCCATCTAGACACCAATTTCTGGAGGCAGTACGAAAGTCAGCTCTGCCGAATTCCCAAACAGGAGACCGGTTATACTATTTCGGAATACTCTAGAGCCTAGACAAACTTTGTTTTGCTCAACTGCTGTCGTCTTTGGGGCCGAAACTAGCCTCATATAGGGGTTGCTTAGTTGTATAGGCAGGTATCTAGCCAAAGCTAGAGAACTTTACCGGGGCCGAAAGCACGGGTTCACCCCTCACCCTTCGAGGTCGACCCACGCGTCCCCAATGGCCGTATGTATCTGCGGCGGAGGGAGACCTCTGTCACGTCGTCAAGCCTTGCAGCCCACTGCAGCCTGTGCCCCTTATCTTCAGTTCCGTGCCAGTGACTTTGGCTAAAAGTTTGGGGGTCTCATAACGTGCCTCAAATGCTCAGCCTAAGCTTAGTATAGAATTGTGCACAATTCTGTCTAGCCAAGCAGTAGTCGAGTTTGTTCCCATGGCAGTATGTATAATTGCTCTTGACTCCATCTCCAAGGTACGGAGAATCTGCGCTGGCTAACGACGTCGAGTTTCTAGCCCATAATGTACTCTCTGATGTTCGCTTTCGAATGCAAGGAGTTGTGGTCTAATCGCAGCCTCCGTCATAAATGTGATAGGGCGGCATGTAGTCCTCATGCCAAAATGGGATATGGGATATTCATACTCTTAATCCTCATCGTCATAAAACCAAATGCATATCCCAGTCAGCACGCCGAGTGTCTCTCATTCTTAGTCACGTTGAAATATGTGTGGAAATGGTGGATATGTTTGCTTTTGAGCAGCCCTTTTCAGCTTTGAAAAGGGGGTGTGTGCCACATGCTGGATGCATTCGCAATGCACCCAAAATACAGGGTATTTCGTGTACTTTCCCAACTTTGAAGGGAGATTGTCAATGTAAAAGGAAAAGATAAAAAAAAATAAAAAAATAGAGAACCTTGCATCTCATGCCATCCGTAGTACGTGGTTTTACTCAGATTCGCCGTCGTTCACTAAGGTAAGTCATCAGACAGCTACAACTCGTCAAATAACTACTCATCACTCTCCCCACTATCCTCATTATCAATTTATATTTACCAAAGAAAAAGTAGCCTTTGATAACCAAAACGAATTTTTCGCAGGAATTGGTTCTTTTCGGCCTCGTATATGTCCGTACATATTCTTGGGCGAGCATTCGATGTCTCATTATCAATACTAACACTTGACTCAGGTAAACATAAATGTCTCAAAAATTCTTCAGCACATTTTTTTTTATAGCATTCGCCAAGACTCATTGTATACATGGGAACAACAATAATCTGGAGCCTGAGGATGAGCTTTGTGTAAGCTCGAAGTGGTTCCATCTGAGCAAGTAGGGTGTCAAACTGGGAAGCCCCTTAGATTGTTGTTACAATTAGTAGAGTCAATAGCCACGGTTGGCAACACCGCCTTGGCGAATGGAAGAGACACGTGGCAGCCTCGTAGTCGAAAGACGTATCAATTTCCAGTATCAGAAAATCAACGGAAGCGGAGCATCTTCTGAGATGCCCTGGTCTCCCCTATGCAACGCTACACGATAGATGCTAGACGCCAGAAAACTCCATCACCAAATCCTCTTTGCGACCATTTCGTACCGTTGAACTCCGTTATAGTCGCCTTGTTGTGGCCTTTCCGGTTTCTGAACCCTTCCCTTGCCCCCCTTCAGGCCCTCCTTGTCATCTGCGTGAATCCATCTTCGTCGGTCTTCCGTGACCTCGATCTGACCGTAACCTCCAACTCTCTTCCCGGTAGCATCATAGACCTCGCGCTCCTCCTGACCAGTCGCCACCATGTGCTCCTTATGCTTCATCTTGGCGTACCTGTTTCGGGAGTATCGCAGCAGAACCATGCCCAGCAGCAGCTTGATAATCAGAAGGACCAAGAAGGCGATGAAGAAGACGACAATCATGGTCACTGCCGCAATCACATCGTCACTGGTCCACGTCCACCAAGCTCTGCTCTGGACACTTGGCTCTCCGTAAGGGTAGCCGTAGACGGCCCGGCCTAAGGCGTCCCTAAGTAACGTGTCGAGACGGTCAAGTGCTGCCACCATTGCTGGCGACGATGGTGTCGCAGACTCGACCGACAGGGACGTCTGAGTTGACTCTGCGATGGGCGTAGCTATACGTGTCGAGAGAAACATGTGGTACGTTTGGACAGAGGCTCGAATGAACAGGCACGACAGCGGAATGACAGCCAGACCAAGTCGTCTCGTCAGCGAAGGAGAGACAAATGCCTACAAGAACAATTAGTCCCCAGCAACGAAATGGAAAAGGGCTTCTTCAGGAGTTGCTTACATTAGTGTAGTAGTCCTTGCACAAGATGTCGAGGATGCGGCTGTAGAATGTCGGCTTGATGTTATTGAACTTGTTTACGTAGGCGTGTTTGATCGTGTCGACCAGCATCTCACTGCCTATGACAATGAGAAAGGGGGACAGCACCTCGCCGGACCAAACCCAAGACGGAAGAATCGTGAAGCTGAACGGCAGTATCGAAGGGCTGTGAAGAGGCATAGCACCGGAGCCTCCCAGGTCGCTGTTTTCGGAACCTGCTCCAGGTACGGAGAGCCCACCGACCTCCACAATATTGCGCATGCCGATAATGAACAGCATGATCCAGAGTTGGAAGCGCTCCACAATGTCTGCACAAGTCAGCTGGAACAGGTTGTCTTTTTCGAATCTCTTGAACACTGTGCTCTTGATCTCAACGAATTGGTTGGAGATCATGAGAGTCAACAGAGCATTTGAATAGGAGTTGACAGCCACATTCAGCGTGATGACTTGGTAGTAGAGCGCCACAGAATGGATGACATTGTAAATCAGTGCAAGTCCGAACATGCCCAGCGGAAGAAGCACCTTGGACCGGCCGGAGCTGTTTCTAGACAATGTCTCAGAACTGAAAAGACACTCAAATATGTCCTGACCAAGCGCTGAAAGGAGACGATCCCCGACCTAGCTGGATTAGTGACAAATCTTCCAATTCCAAGAAGGACTTACCTCGAGGACGTTGTAGATGACATAGAGCTTGATGCCATCCTGTGCTCGAATGAAGTGATACATCCGACTAGCGTCCAGCTTCATAAGGAATAGCGAGCTGAAAAGAATGACGGCGCCTTGTAAGAGATCCGCCTTGTGAAAGGAAGACAGATTAGAGGGTATCGATTTCGTCCTACGATGTCGATGCACTCTAGAGGCAGAAGGGTGTGGAGGGTGATGGCTCGAAGGCCCATTCATCTTATGAGTGATATGCCCGTTCCCATTCAATCTGACCTCATGTTCGATAACCCCATTGCCGTTCGCCTTGACATCTGAGTCGACATGGACAGCTGGGATGTTGTCCGGGAATCTCATATCCGTAGCTGGGGTAGATGATCTGCGCCCCGGCGGCCGACTCTGGCTTCTGTCGCGGCCGACAAGGTGATCATTATCTCCTTTTTGAGCGGACAGCGCACTTCTTGCCCTAGGTCTCCGTGCTCTGGCCCATACTCTGCCCAGCCCGTACCAAACGAAACCAACCATG